ATTTAAGACTCCCATAACGTGGGTATGCAGATGATCTTTTGAGTGACTTCAGTGTCCGTCCTGAGTCTACTTGGGTATATAGGGCAGATTACAAATAAAGCTTACTATTATTGTGTGTCCAGTTTCAAGGGGACAAAGGCATGGACTTCAACTCCCACAATTCCTTACTTCCTACCAAAGTTGACCCATGCCTGACCTATGGGAATGCCTCTTCAGGCTGCCTTGTCCACTACTCTCCCTGCAGTTGCTTTGGACTCCCAACTCCCACAACGTGGGTATACAGATGACCCCTTGAGTGACTTAACTATAAGGACAAAGACATGGGCCAGCTTGGACCCTCCCTCCAACTGTTTTGCATTCCAACTCCCACAACAATGGGTATGCAGGTGACCCCTTGATTGACTTAAGTGTCCAGTTCCACGAGGACAAAGGCATGGGCTAACTTCAGCCCTCCCTCCAGGTGTTTTGGTCTTCAGCTCCCACAACGTGTGTATGCAGTTGACCCCTTGATTGACTTAAGTGTCCAGTTCCACGAGGACAAAGGCATGGGCCAACTTCAGCCCTCCTTCCAGGTGTTTTGGACTTAAGACTCCCACAACGTGGGTATGCAGATGACCCCTTGATTGACTTACGTGTCCAGTTCCACGAGAATAAAGGCATGGGCCAACTTTGGCCCTCCCTCCAGGTGTTTTGGACTCCAACTCCCACAACGTGGGTATGCAGATGACCCTTTGGTTGACTTGAGTGTCCAGTTCCAAGGGGACAAAGGCATGGGCCAACTTCAGCCCTCCCTCCAGGTGTTTTGGATTCTTAACTACCACAACATGGGTATGCAGATGACTCCTTGGTTGATTTAAGTGTCCGTCCTGAGTCCACTTGGGGAGATAGGGCGGAATACAAATATTCCGCCCTATCTCCCCCTGTGTCCAGTTCCAAGGGGACAAAGACATGGACTTCAATTCCCACAATTCCTTACTTCCTACCAAAGTTGGCCCGTGCTGGACCTATGGGAATGCTTCTTCGGGCTGCCTTGTCCACTACTATCCTTCCGGGTGCTTTGGACTCCAAGCTCCCACAATGTGTGTGTGCAGATGATCCCTTGAGTGACTTAACCAGTTCCACAAGGACAAAGACATGGGCCAACTTGGGCCTTCCCTCCAGGTGTTTTGGACTTCAACCCTCGCAATTCCTAACTACCTACCGGCTGTTAGAAATTATGGGAGTTGGAGTCCAAAACACCTGGAGGGAGGGCCTGCATTACACTATGAAACACTGATTTTTTGTTCCTGGGTAATCAATGTCATTTCCTAATTGAGTCTATCATTAAAACATGGGGGAAATGTATTAAACTGCCGGAACTTGCCCATTTTGCTCTAATTTTCCAGTGAATTTCTCATCATCGAGTCTCAACCAATTACAACGTAGTTTGTGGCAGCCACAAAAAACAAGTCAGGACCGCACAATTAAATAGGAATAGCATTTTCAAACCAGGAACGGAACATTTTGCAAATTTTGTTATTAAATGTTATTAGGAAAAAAACTCTCGTTTGAAAGTCGAATCTGCCACTCATTTGGAAGTTTGGTGGAGCCGCCTTCCTTCCCCGGAGGCTTTTGGATTGAGGTTGCATGGACATCTGTTGGGAGGGTTTGCATGGTGGCTCTGCAGAGCAGAAAAGGGTTGGACTGGATGACCTCTGGGGGTCCCTTCCATAACTTAAACAAACTCAGCAGGTGCTTTGTATTTTGTGTCGAAGGCAGGATGGTGCCTGATTTATAGTTTTCTCCTTCCTCAATTATTCCCTCCCTAAATATACTCTGCACCGGATCAATTGTCTCAGTGGCAAGCTATAAAAATAAACCTATACATAGCAGAGTCCTTATCAGTGGTCAGCAGAGTTTTACAGTACAGCCCAATGTGCCACTCACTGTTTAAGAAAACTCCGCTTTTGTCCAAACTCAGTGGAGGCTTTTAATCTTGACACGTTGCTTTTTGCACAAATATACACTCGCACATCGGGATCCCCTGATCTCCCCTCAACCATGCAGAGGTATACTCACAACACAACCGGTGTACCGTGAGAAGCAAGAGAATCGTGGCAAGAGAAAGAATGCACACCCGCTCGTCAACCAGGGACAAAAGCGTCATGAGTATCACATGGGACATCTGTTTATATCAGTATGCACTCCATATGTATTGAGATGGGATGCATACTCTCCTCATCACACCTGATTATACTGCATTTTAGCTCATTCGATGGAAGGCTGGCTCCTCCCAATCCATTCAAAACACCCCCTGCATCACTCTATGACCTTTTAAGACATATCGTTGCTGATGGGATGCAGAGAGATTTTCCTATCATACACGAAACCAGCTCTTCAGCAACAGAAATATCCGTAATATCTCTAAAAAACACAATTAGAGTTCCGTCTGCAAATAATCTTCAGACGAATTTCAACAGAATACTGATGGGATGGGGCACACAGCATGTGATGGGACCTATTTGAAATCATTCTCGCAGTCTCAGAAACTGAGTATTTCCTAATGCAATAACTTCCATGGTCATGATTCAGCTTCTTTAGGATGTCCCATCATCACCCAATTAACTCTTTAGTAGGTGTGTGATCACATGTCCATTCGAACTGTATTTTCCACTAGTTTAACACAATAGGGTTACAGTGAGTGCATTCCTAAGTGTTTTATCTATCTAACATTTTGGACTTCAACTACCACAATTGTTATCAGCCGAAAACATTCAGAAGGCACTGCCCAGTGACACGCAGGTGCAAGGAAAGGGAAACTACTGCTGAGACAATACTGTTAGCGTTATCGGAAGTTTTGCACAGGCTTAGAAGAAAACATGAACTCTGGAGATGTCTGGTTACAAAGCAGGTTCAATTTACTTAGAGTAGTTTCAAAACACATCCATTCCAGTAAGCAACCAGACATGAAATACACAGGACAAAGGAGGAGATTCCATCTGAACACGAGGAAGAACTTCCTGACTGTGAGAGCCGTTCAGCAGTGGAACTCTCTGCCCTGGAGTGTGGTGGAGGCTCCTTCTTTGGAAGCTTTTAAACAGAGGCTGGATGGCCATCTGTCAGGGGTGATTTGAATGCGATGTTCCTGCTTCTTGGCAGAATGGGGTTGGACTGGATGGCCCATGAGGTCTCTTCCAACTCTTTGATTCTATGATTCTATGAAGTAGAAGTGTAAACAATTCTGCAGCTGTTTGGCAGATACCAGATACTCCCCAATTTTCTCACAACTCCAGACAGAGAGTGTCTCAGGGTTACTTTCTCACAGCCTCAAACATAGACATCACAGCAATACAATCCTGTGGCATCCATATTTCTACTGCATGAAATTACATTTAAAACACACTACATACTTTAACATATACTGACAAATACCGATAAGGACTGGTGCCAAAGGCACAAAGGAAGAGATAAAGGCAAGGCATGGTTCAAATGAAATTAGCCTGTGCGCACGCTCAAGGTGTTCACTATCAAACAGAGCTGCGTCTCAGTTCAGTGTGGCACTTTCTCTTTTGTCCACCCAGCAGGGAGGTTTGTTCAAATAAACCTGTTGAATGATCTCCTTGCTTCTTGGCACCCAAACAGAGACCTGAGCGTATCCCAGCAACACCTTGATGGGACCTCCTTGAGATTCCCACAGATCCTCTGCCTCAGCTGGACCCCAAGAATCATAGAATCATAGAATCAAAGAGTTGGAAGAGACCTCCTGGGCCATCCAGTCCAACCTCATTCTGCCAAGAAGCAGGAATATTGCATTCAAATCACCCCTGACAGATGGCCACCCAGCCTCTGTTTCAAAGCTTCCAAAGAAGGAGCCTCCACCACACTCTGGGACAGAGAGTTCCACTGCTGAACGCCTCTCACAGTCAGGAAGTTCTTCCTCATGTTCAGGTGGGATCTCCTCTCTTGTAGTTTGAAGCCATTGTTCTGCGTCCTAGTCTCCAAGGAAGCAGAAAACAAGCTTGCTCCCTCCTCCCTGTGGCTTCCTCTCACATATTTATACATGGCTATCATATCCCCTCTCAGCCTTCTCTTCTTCAGGCTGTACATGCCCAGCTCCTTAAGCCGCTCCTCATAGGGCTTGTTCTCCAGACCTTTTATCATTTTAGTCTGGAGAACAAGCCCTATGAGGAGCGGCTTAAGGAGCTGGGCATGTACAGCCTGAAGAAGAGAAGGCTGAGAGGGGATATGATAGCCATGTATAAATATGTGAGAGGTGCTTCCCTTTATCTCTCCCAGCTATGATTCTATATATTTAACATATTCTATGGTTGCTTCAAACTCTATTATTCTATATACCGTATTTACTCGAGTCTAATGCACCATCGAATCTAATGCGCACCTCAATTTTCAAAATCCCGAAACCAAATAAAGTATGTGCTGCTGAATATAATGCATAGCAGCAAAAAGTGCACTCTTCATTAAGTCACCCTGTGGAGAGAAAAAGTGGGGTATTATTATTATTATTATTATTAATAATAATAATAATAATAATAATAATAGGCAATTTGGCCAAAAAAAGTGCATCACAGTTTCTGCCTGCGTAGGATTCCTTCTTTGAAAACAAGTGTTAGGACAATTGCAAAGCAAACTGCCAAAGGATGCGGGTGCCTCAGAAAACTACAAATCCCATTGAGACGTTATATTAGATATGAGGTCCCTCAAACAGGAGCTCCAGGTGCAGATCCTGGAGCACCTTTTTCCACTAAGAATCATAGATTCAAAGAATCAAAGAGTTGGAAGAGACCTCCGGGGCCATCCAGTCCACCCCCATTCTGCCAAGAAGCAGGAATATTGCATTCAAATCACCCCTGACAGATGGCCATCCGGCCTCTGCTTAAAAGCTTCCAAAGAAGGAGCCTCCACCACACTCCCTCCGGGGCAGAGAGTTCCACTGCTGAACGGCTCTCACAGTCAGGAAATTCTTTCTAATGTTCAGATGGAATCTCCTCTCTGATGACTATATTATGTGAATCTAATGTGCGCCTTAATTTTGGCCGAGATCATTTAGGTGAGCATTAGATTCGAGTAAATAGTGGTATCTAATCTATTCTATGGTTCTATATATGGTCTCTTCCAACTATATGATTCTATATATTTAATTATTCTACCTACTTGGCCTTTGGGGGTCTCTTCCAGTCCTGAGACCCTTGGACTCTCAGCCCCAATTACAGGAGATGTTTGTTGTACTAGATGGCCTTTGGGGGTCCCTCCCAGCCCTGAGACCCCCATTGAAGAGCCCTATAAGGAGGCAGTGGTATAGCGGACCCTCACGGCCCCCAGGGCGTCTCCCCCGCGACCCACACTGTAGCAGGACAGTCGACTCTCCCTCTGTGACCTCTCTGACCTGGCTGGTTTGGCCGGCAGACTGACCAGGAGCCAGGAGACATGGCCCACCGGGAAGGTCTTGCAGACGCGGAAGGTCGGGTGCCCGGACAATGCTCCGCCACCAACCCATGGTTCCTGAGACTCCACTTCTGCCCGGAGCGGCTGGTACCTGAGCAGGTGGGCCTCTGGGGTGTGCTGGAGGGCTGACCGGTGGGGGTGATGGCCGCAGCACAGGACACAGAGCAGGGCCAAGGAGGGCAGGGCCACCAACACCAGGCAGAACAAGTACAGCGCCAGGCGGAGCGGGCAGCAGTGGCTGGACAGCCAGCCTCCCCAGGTCAGACGAGGGCGGCGGTGGCGGAGGGGGCTGCGATGGTGGGCAGTGGCTGGGCAGAGGCAGTGGGCAGTGGGGGCGGGAGGGACCACACATGTGGTTGTGGGCATAGAAGTGGTCAAGGGTCCAGTTGTGGTCTCTGGAGAGGAGGCAGATGTGGGCACAGGCACCAAAGTGGAGGACATGGTCAGAGCAGTGTTGGTGCTGGGGTCAAAGGTCGTGGCTGAAGGCCTTGGGGTGGAGTGTCCAGTAGTGAACCTTGGAGAGGACATAGAGGTGGTTGTAGGTGCCGAAGGGGTGGTGGAAGTCATTGTGGGTTCATCCGGGATCATAGTGGTGCTGGCTGTTGTGGTGGAGTGTCCAGTAGTGAACCATGGTTGGGATGTAGTGGTGGTCATAGGTGCCGAAGGGGTGGTGAAAGTCGTCGAGGGGTCACCTGGGGTCAGAGTGGTGCTGGGGTCAAAAGTTGTGGCTGGAGGCCTTGGGGTGGTGGGTCTGGTAGTGAACCTTGGAGAGGACATAGTACTTGTTGTAGGCGTCGAAGGGATAGCAGACATTGTTGAGGGGACACCTGGGGTCAGAGCTGTGGTCTTGGGAGCAAAGGTCGTGGCAATGGGCATGGCAGAGGTCAAGTGTGGTGTCATGGTAGTTGTGGGGACGATTGCGGCCATGGTGGAGGACGCCGTGGTGGTCAAGGGGCTGCTGGGATGACCCTCCTCCTCTCCTCCATCCTCCTCTTTCGCCCCTCCATCGCTGTCCCCAAGCGTCCGGCACTGAGACTGGAAGTGCATAACGGGGGTGCCCTTCTCTTTGGCCGGAGCCTGGCAGCGGACACTCTCGGGCTCGTTCTCGGTGACCTCCTTCTCGCCCACTTGGGCCCGCGTGTAGACGGCAAACTCGTTGTCGTTCAGCCACTCCCGCAGGTAGACGAGGTCGCAATCACAGCGCCAGGGGTTTCCCACCAGGTAGACGTAGGCGAAGGTGTTCTCCTCCGGGAAGAAGCCTTCTGGGACGTGGCGCAGGCGGTTCCGCTCCAGCCGCAGGATCTCCAGTGCGCTCAGACCGGACAGCAGCTCCGCCGGAAGCTCTTCCAGCTCATTGTCCGAAAGGTCCAGGTCTTTCAGGTCGGATAGACCTCGGAAGACTTCGGTGGGCAATTGCCGGAGACGGTTTCCTTGCAGCTGGAGTTCCTGGAGGCCCTTCACCTCCTTGAAGCCCCCCTCGGGCAGTCTCTCCAGACCATTGTGGCCCAAGGTCAAGCGGGTCAAGGCGGGGAGGCCGTGCAAGGCGGGCAAGGAGCCCAAGGCATTGTGGGAGAGAAACAAGCTATGGAGGGCCGCCAGTGGGGACTTGGCCTGGGTCTCCAAGGTGGCCAGGCTGTTGTTGGAGAGGTCCAGCTCGGTCAGCTGGTCAAACGGCAGTAAGGTGGCCAAAGAGAAGTGCTCGAAGCAGTTGGAGGTCAGGAACAGGAGGCCGGTGTCCGGAGGCAGCCCCGCAGGGAGGGCGGTCAAGCCTCGGTCCTCGCAGCTCACCTGCAGCAGGTCCTTGATCTTGTTCATCTCTGACTCGCAAGGGGAGGGAGCGGCCGCAGCGATGGACAACAGCCAGGCCAGGATGACCAGCTGCATCTGGGGCACGAGGAGAGGAAGAGGAAGTCAGGCACCAGGAAAAGAGAGAGAGAGAGAGAGAGAGAGAGAGAGAGAGAGATGTCCTCCTCGAGCAGAGGCTGGATGGCCATCTGTCAGGAGTTTCCCAAAGGCTTTGCTATTCTGTGCATTGTCCTCTTGCAGCCCAGGAAACCGGTCCCATTACTGACCCTTCCCTTGGGGGATGATGGGACTTGCAGTCCAAGTAAATAATTTCTCAAAGGCTCTGCTCTGTGCATTTGCATCTCGGCAAATTAATTGCATTAGTTAACCTCCCCCCTTTTAGGGATTATGGGACTTGGAGTCCAAGCAATAGAGTTTTAAAGTGGGTTATATTATTATTATTATTATTATTATTATTATTATTATTAGAAACACAACAAGATGAGTCCACAGCAGACACTCTACTTGCAGTCCAAGTCAATAATTTCTCAAGGACTCTGCTCTGTGCATTTGCATCTCAGCAAATTAATTGCATTAGTGAACCTCCCCCCTCTTGGGGATTATGGGACTTGGAGTCCAAGCAATAGAATTTTAGAGTGGGTTGTTGTTGTTATTATTATTATTATTTGAAACACAAGATGAGTCCACAGCAGACACTCTACTGGCTGTTGTATTGGATCACATGTTGGACACTTCCCAAGTGTCTAGGATTATTATTATATTTATTATATTTATTATATTTATTATATTATTTTATATTATTATTATTATTATTATTATTATTATTATTATTATTATTAGAAACACAAGACAATTCCACAGCAGACACTCTACTGGCTGTTGTATTGGATCACACGTCAGACATTTCCCAAGTGCCTAGGACTATTATTATTATTATTATTTATTTATTTATTTATTTATTTTTATATTATTATTATTATTATTATTATTATTATTTATTTTTATATTATTATTATTATTTATTTATTTTTATATTATTATTATTATTACTATTATTATTGCCTATTTATACCCCGCTTTATTTCTCTTGCAAGAGACTCCAAAGCAGCTTAACATAAAAGCATCAGCAAACAATTTCAAAATATAATACAAATGTGCAAACATGAAAACAGGATGGCTTTTGGGGGTCCCGTCTAAGGCTATGATTCAGAATCCAATTTCGGTCTTTGAATCAGAGGCTGGATGGCCATCTGTCAGGAGGGGTTGAATGGTGTCTTCCTGAGCATGTGCAATTTTAGAGTGGGTTTTTATTATTATTATACACAGTATGTCACAGCAAACGAGATCTATATGCTGGATATTATTATTATTATTATTATTATTATTATTAT